ATAACACTTTCCACCCAAATTAAATGAGCAATGTATAAAGAAAGCCCTCCCTTGCCTCTCATTGCATCGCAGAGAAATATGGCTCAGACAAACTTTACTGAAGATGAAAACCAGAAAACATTTACAGAACTGTGGTGCTCAGCGGAATTTTTAAGAAGTGTAGATGGCGAGCTTATTTTCCTTTCAGCTCTAAATATTTTTCTTTCCATTACTGCATTTCTGGGGAACACTCTGATCCTAGTTGCCCTACACAAGGAAACTTCACTTCATCCGCCGTCCAAACTCCTGTATCGTAACCTAGCGATAACTGATCTCTGTGTTGGTATCATAACAGAACCTTTGGCTGTAACTTATTTGACTTCTGTTGTAAACAGAAGATGGGATATTTGCTATTACGCGACTCGGGCAGCAGCTTTCTTCGGTAATACTTTGGGCGCAGTGTCTTTATTAACATTGACTGCAATAAGCGTAGACAGACTTCTCGCCTTGTTGCTGGGGCTCAGATACAGACAAGTTGTAACTTTGAAACGGATGCATATAACTGTCATTGGTTTTTGGATTTTGTCCATCGCCGGTGCATCTACTTACTTTTGGAATCGTTATATATCTTCATGGTGTCGATACATAGTTGCAACTCTGTTTCTAGTCACTTCAATCTTCGCTTACACAAAAATTTCCTGTACTCTGCGTCGTAATCAAATACATGTTCATAACCATGTTGCTCAAGGACAACCGAACCAAGCAATTCCACTGAACACAGCCCCATACAGAAAGGCAGTGTACAGTGCACTGTGGGTGCAGGTAACATTAATTATTTGTTATCTGCCGTATGGTATAGCGGTCGCTTTGACACCTCAAAAAGAGATTTCCTTAGCCATTTACCGTCTTAACGAATTTACTGTTATGTTGTTGTATTTAAACTCGTCATTAAACCCGTTACTGTACTGTTGGAGGATCCGAGAAGTGAGGCAAGCTGTAAAAGAAACATTAAGGCAAATATTCTGTTGTTCGAGTTAGTGTACTATATATGCTTCCTCTGTATGATACTAAAATTCACGCGAAAATTGCAGTTTAACGATATACATTTAATACTGTTGTGAAGTATTTTCAAAGTTATTTTCAAAGTTTTGTTTGGGTCAAGGTTAGTCTTGATTTTGTCCACACCGGTGTTTTTCTGTTTTGACCTTTTGTTTTTACTTGTATTTGCATTTTTGCTTAGCTCGCGGATTTACTTAATGCCATATTAGTAATATTCTTCGCTTGCCATTGTCAGCTGTTAGTTGTTCTTAGGCGTGTTTGCGATGCTAGTGCTGACCCATGTTCACCCTAGATGCATTGCGCGCCCTGTACTCCAGAAAAAACATTTCGCATAGTTGAAAATCGCTGCCTTAAGTGTGTAAAGTCAATCTTTGTTAATCTTCTACAGTTCGCTAAATCTGGTTTAAAAGAAAGTCTCAACAAGCTCTTTTGGTATTTTTCTTTACATCTTTTTGGATATTTTGGAATGGTATCGAGCCTTTTTGTTTCTGTGAGTGTTTGTTTCACTGCAGCACTTTCGATGGC